CAAATGGCAAGAGTGTGAAGGTACTGGTGGGAACGTAAAATGACAGCCAGCTCTGAAGTTTGGCAGTCTTTCAACAAGTTGAACATAGAGTTATCAGTGTGACCCAGCAATATGCCCGTGAGAACTAAAAGCACGTCGTCATTCACACCGGTGTGCAACTATTCATGGTGGTATCATTCACGATAGCCAGAGCAGAAGCAACCCAAGTGTCCATCAATTGAGGAATGCATAAAATATGGGATTTCCATACCACAGAACGTCACTTGGCCATAAAAAGGAACGAGGTACTGATTCACGCTATGACGCCCATGAACCCGGAGAACATCATGTTAAGTATTGCATTGTTCCACTTACAGGAAATGTCCAGAATAAGCAAGTCTGTGGTGATGAGGTGTGGAGAGGAGTGGAAGAGGGGAGGGGAGTGCCTGGCTGCTGATGGGTATGAAGTTTCTTTCCAGGGGCGATGAAAATGTTCTGGAATTAGTGGTGATGGTTCGACAACTCTGAATCATACTGGATGATACACTTTAAAAGGGTGAATTATATGGTATGTGAATTATATGTAAATAACAACAATTCTGGCCTATTTGGTCTTGCCAAATAGTAATAAAGTTTTACTGTGCCTGCAGTGGCCCGCCCCACTGTCCTCCAAGCTCTGGCCCCAGATGTTCAGTCTGATCCCCACTCTGCCCCCTTTATTGAAGCCCCAGTCCCCTCAGCTCCTTGTCTTTGTTCCCATTGCCCTCTGCTTCCCTTGGCTCCCCCCACATCCGAACCCTCCCTCCAGACCTGCAAGCCAGTGGCGCTATATTCCATCTACAATCAAACTGTCTGCAGATGGGTTCACAGTGGGGTTTTTGTTCTTGTTTTTTAACTGAATTAGTTACCAAGAGGAGATTTCACACAAACATCCACATTCCAATGATGGCAGATTCTGCTGGCTGCCTATCTAAGGCCGTGCTCCACTTGTCCCAGGTAAAGGAAGCGGGTTTTGTTCTGGTATCTGCTCAGGGCAAGTGGCCGGGGCCACTCCAGGGATGAAGCGCGTCATCCCACTTACCTTTGCAGAAACCGGTCAAAGGTGGCTAATAGAGTAGTCAGGGCTCTTAGCCATAGGCAACAAAACAGACTCTGGCTGTTTGAGCAGAAAATGGTTTTATGATGTGTCAGAAGCCAACTGACCAGGAAGCTGATGAAGTTTTAGCTCTAGGGCCCTGCACCTGCATACCCTGTGAGCACCTAGGCATTTATATATGCACATTTCTGGAAAATATCCTAGAGATCTAGGAGAAAGAGAACTGAACCTCTCGATGTCCAGAATTTTGGTATGATTCCTCTACTCATTCTAAATAAATGTTCACTTTCATATTTAATTTTTCATGTGATAAATAAGATGATCCAGATGTCAGAATTACAGACAAGGATTTTAAAGCAACCATTGTAACTATGCTCAAGGTGGTAAAGGAAAATATGCTCATATTGAACAAACAAATAAGAAATCTCAGAACAGAAACAGAAATAAAAACAAAAAACAGAACAAAACAAAAAAAGAACTAAATGGAAATTTCAAAACTAAAAATTCAAATGTTTGAAAGGAGGCTGGAAAAGTGAGTCTCCTGGATTTCACTCTGGAGGATAGCAGTCATGAAGCTGAAAATCCTTCTGACATAGCCAGGGGTTCAAAGGACACTGGATAGTCAGAAGACACAGCAAGTGCCCTCTAAAGCAGCAGTCCCCAACCTTTCTGGCACCAGGGATCGGTGTCCCTATGAGAATCTAATGCCTGATGACTTGAGGTGGAGCTGAGGCAGTGATGCTAGTGCTGGGGAACGGCTGCAAATCCAGATGAAGCTTTACTTGCTAGCCCACCGCTCACCTCCTGCTGTGTGGCCCAGTTCCTAACAGGCCACGGACCAGTCCCTGTTAGTAGTGAGAAGGGTGACATGTGAGCCAAGCCAGAACCCTTACATGGCTGACCTGTTGGACATACTACAGAACTACCTACCTGTGGACTCCTTGTCACATGAGATGGTACATTTCTCTTATTTGGGTATTTGTTATTTATAGTCAAAATACATCCTGACTAAAATATGGCTTGTCTTGAAAGTAGAGAGATCGATCTGATGGTGCCGGCCTTGCAGGCACTTGGGACAGGGCAGAGCTCTCTAGGTACCAATCTCGCTAGGTCCCCACAGGCAACTGTTTGTAGTCCCTGCCCTACACACACTTAGAGAGATTCCCAACTCCTGCCTCCCCACCCCAACCCCATCTAGCTAGAAGTAACTCTCCCTCCTTGAGAGTTGCACAGTTCTGTCACAGTCTCTCTTCTCTCTCTTACTGTAACTACACAGTCAGCACCTCCCACTAGGCCATCAGTTTTCTGAAGGCGAGCGCTCTGCCTTATTCATCCCTGAATCTCCCTCTGCCATCGAGCAAGGTGTTGGTGCTAGAATACCGGAGTCACTCAACATACGTTTGCTGAATAAATGAATAAACATGGCCTGCAGTGAAGAACTTCAGTATACCCCTTTCAGGATACCCCACCCTCCAAGCTCACCAAGGAGCTTTTAATAGGTGATGTGGGTTGCTTCTCAATCAGGAAAATAATGCGCACCATACTGCAATACTCTGGCAAACTCAGTGGCTCAGCCCTCAGCCCCACTCACTTGGAGTACGCCTGTAACAGTGAGCCCTGAAGCCAGGGTCTCAGGCCACGTCAGAGACCCTGGGCCTCCTCAGCTGTCCCCTTGCTCAGGAAGCATGATGGGATGACACCCTTCCTGGCGTGGTCTAAGAAAGACTGCCAGTCACCACACACTCCAAGAAAGGATGGATGTTTACACACACACAAATCTCCCCTGTTTACAAAAGAGAAAGGCCAGGCAACTTGAAAACATACACACCAATCACAGATCCAAGTGGGAGGGAAGGCAGCTCCTGGGTTCTACCCCAGAGGGCTGTGTTCCCGTGGAGGACAAGGATGCTCAGAGCACTTCAACTGGTTGACAAATCCCAAGAAGAACTTCCTTTTGTATCAATCTTGGATCTAATTTAACCTTATAAATGTTTCCTGAACTGGAGATTGATTTTCAGCTCCAGCTTTTGGTACTTTCTCTCTAGGCGCCTGGCTCTGGGTTCGGAACTTGGCTTTTTTTTTTTTTTTAAATCACGGTAAAAAAACACATAACACAAAATTTGCCATCTTAACCATTTTTGAGTGTACTGTTCTGTAAAGTACATTCACACTGTTCTGCTGCCATCACCACCACCATCTCCAGAAATCTGTCATCTTCCCGTCCTCCACCCCCTTGTTCCTGGTAACCACCATTCTACTTCCTGTTCCTATGACTCTGACTACTCTGGGGACTTCATATAAGTGGAATCACACAGAATTTGTCCTTTTGTGACCAGCTTATTTCACTCAGCATAATGTCCTTAGGTTCACCCATGTTGCAGCCTGCATCAGGATGTCCTTCCTCTGTAAGGCTGACATTCCACTGTATGTGTATATACATTTTGTAACCCAGTCATCCATCAGGGGATACTTGAGCTGCTTCCACTTTTTGGTCATTGTAATGCTACCATAAACACAGTAGCACAGGTATCTGTTCAAGTCCCTGCTTTCAGTTCTTTAGTAGACTCGGCCTTGGACTTTCCCCAAGTCAGTTCAGGTCCCACCCTGGGCCTCGGATTCTAGGCCAGCCTCCATTCCAGCGGGAGGGAGAGATGATAGCAGGCTGGGCTCTCACGTGATGCCTGCAAACTCTCTGCAGCGGATGTGGCAGAGCCCAGTGACTGGTTGCCCAGAGCAGGTTCCTGGCTCTCCTAATGGTGGGCGAATCAAGGACAGTGTGGCAAGAAGCAAGGAAGAGTGGGACGTCCACTCTGCGTGTGCAGGAGGTGACACATACCAGTGCCTGGGGAGAAGAGCAGGACAAAGGAGGCCTCTGTCCCTCCAAAGGGCAGGCATGCCGCAGACGTGGCCCCGAGGCTGGAGAAAGGGCAGCCCTGGCTGCAGGGTCAGAGGTTATGAAAAGGGACTGAATGCCAAGACTGGTTCTACTCACAATACCTCAGTTACAGGAGTCCTAGGCGTGGGGGTAGGGGCAGGGAAAGGGGCAGGAGTCTGGAATGCTCTAGTTTGACAGCTGGCCCCCAGCTGCACCAACTCCTGAAGGAAGGGAGGCACAGGAGCAGAAATTCAAAGGGCTGGTGCGGCGTCTCTAACCTCAGCCCTCAGAGCTGTGTCTTTAGTGCTTCAGTGGGGGTGGAGGATAGTAGACTATGGGTAGTGGGTAAGGGTGGGGTTCTGGACACCCTTGAACCCCTCTCACTGTCTGCCAAAAGCAACTTTCAACTGGTTACATGATGTTTTGGTACCACAGTGCCTGGGCTCGGGCACCAAGTGATGGCAGCCTGGGAAAGGCACAGCCACTAAAGAGAAAATTAATTGCTTCTGTGAACTCTGAACTTCTTAAAGTGTAAAGACGACTTAAACACAATCCTTCAAAGTCAGGACCCACATACAGACTCCAGGCTCTCACACCAGCCCAGACCAAACTGAGGGGCTCTGGTGATGCTGAGGAGCCAAGGAAGGCTGCTGGTGGGGGCACCACTTCAGGACCCTGGCCACTCTAGCTCAAGGAGCTCCTCCAACTTGATGTACATGTTCAGGAAGAGCTGTCCCCTTAAATCCAGAGGAGCTGCCTTCCAGACTGTTCTGGGGCCCCAAGAGTCCATGAGGTCAGCCTGGACTTGGCCACAATGACATCAATCTGAGGCCAGATCAAGGTGCCACAGAGCCTGTTGGCTTAGCTTCTTACTACCGCTGGAGCCAGGGCCAGAGATGGCCCGATGTCTCCATGTCCCTGTGACAAAACGTCCCTACTGGTACCTCTCCCTCATGCCCAGTTCCAGGGGCACTGAGAGCTATGAGCTACACGGATCCTTGAGCTTGGGTGCTCAGGGCACAAGTCTGCACCCAGCACCACAGTACTGACCGGACTGATGTAAGAGCCCATCCACGCTGAGATCCCACAGGAGACTGAAGGCTCCTGAAGAAGTTTCTGGAGGCCACGTCAGCAGCTGGGAGAAGAAAAAAAAATGGTTAGCTGGGTCGTTCCTGTGAAGCAACAGTAGTAAACTTTATCACTCCACATTAAATAAATCTCATTTAGTCCCCACAAGTCCACGTCCACTGTCACTATTGCCTTTTCTATAGAGGAGGAAGTCAAGCTCAGATGCCTCAAGCAACTTCCCCAGGGTCACGCAGCTTGTAAGTCGCAAAGCCAGGATTCAATCCCGGTTTTTGTGACTTAAAACCTCCTGTCCTGTCTACCTCCCTGTGTAGGAATCTTGTGACTCTGCCCCTTATTCATTGGAGTCACCGCTGTGCTCTCTAGGGCATGGGCCAGTGTAAGGAAGAGAAAGAGCTCGAAAGTCAGCTGGAAAATGACAGGCCAGCCACTCTCTGTGGTCTTCCATCATTTCCAGGCCAGTGCCTCAATTTACAATCATCTGAGACTGCCGTCTCTGGAGGAGTGTTTGCTACTGAGCACAGATCCTCAAACAACCCGGGACAGTGGTGGCAGCAGGGGTGGGGCCTGGAAGGCAAATCATCCACCTGACTCAGATTCCCTGGGATCCTTACTTAAAGGCTACTTGAGTCTGAGGATCACAAACTGGGGATTTGGGATGTGAGAGTGTATGACATGCAGATGAGCAATGAGACAGCATCCTCCCCAGCAGTGCTACCCAGTTTGGGGACACAGAGACCAGGCCATGCTGGCATGACCTCATCCTCCTAGGAGTGCTGAGAAAGGGACACTGTGGTAGACACCCCAGGCACAGACGCTTTGGGACAGAGGCTCTTATCCCCAGGGGCTGAGGCCCTGAGCTGAGTCTCTCTGGGCACTGACCTTGGAGGGAGTGACTGCCTCAGCCAAGGTCACACAAGTGCAGCCTTTACCTGATAACTGGCAGATGCTGGGGTCCAATGGTCTGGACACCTTGGCTCTACTGTGACAACTCCACAGGGTCACTAAGTTCCAGAGCCCCGCAGGACTGGCCGTGACCTCTCTTGCCCTGGTTTGCCTCTGTGGTCCTGCTGTCCTCCTATCTTCACAAGAGTGGCTGTGTAGCCCTCTGCCCCAGCCTATCAGACACTGCGTCCCACAGTCTGTTGGCTTCCCAGGATCTGATCCAAGACTCCAGAACCCTGCCTCCTCCTCCCTTCGTAACTTTTCCTAACTTCTTCATAGCGAAACACTCAGTCATTTCCCAACGAGAATACAAATTCATCCACTTCCCTGGCAAGGCTAAGCTGGCAGGGGCACACTGGAGCTCAGTGACAAGCTTATAGAATTTGTGAGCACTGAGGCCACTTAGGCCCCTGTGAGTGGGAGCATGGCGGGCAGCAGGACCTAGTCCCTACGGGACTGCAGGATGTCCTTTCCTAAGAAACAACTAAACGAGGGCTGAAGAGGTCTGCCTTGCTCATCCATCTCCAGCTCTCAGAGTGAACCCCAGGTGTACACATGACCCTGCTCACTCAGCTGCCTTTGACTGGATGTGGGGTCATCTAACTCCTCTTAGGCTAGTCAGACCCTGCAAAGGCCCGTAGTGTGACCACTTGAGCAGCCATGTGGCCAGTGGACTGGCATGCTGCCCCTTCTCCTCCAGAGACGAATACACGGAGCAGTCTCACCCACATGCTCCACGGCCAAGCACACCCCTTTCACTGATGAGGCGTCAGCCATAGGGGGAGGAGAATCTTTGTGTCTCCTTCCAGAAGATGCCCAGGCCCTGGTCAGAGCTGTGGGGGTACCGTAAAGACAAGGTAGGTCATAGAATTTCCTCCTTTAACCTTTGTAGGAAACTGAAGCACAGGGCTTACACTAGGAAACTCGTCCAAGGTCATACAGCATGAAGTGGCAGAGCTGGACCTATACCTAGTCTGTCTGGCCTCAGGGCGTATCCTCTGCTCTAAGGCCCCTCTCGGGGTGACAGAGGTGGGAGAAGAGAGGGCTGGGCTGGCTTAGTGCTCCCAGGGCCTGCTGACAGGGAAGGCATTCCATGCTATGTCAGGGTCACAAAAGGACCCTCTGTGGGTGAGGTCTCTGACAGTCTCTTTGTGCCTCCCAATGCCCGATTGTGTGTTTTGTTACATACAGTGCAAGGAACCGAGAGAGGCCGCACTGCCTGGGGGCAGAGAAGAATGGCCGGACTGTCTTGTTACTGGCCCGCCATTTCCACTGAGCTTTGGGGAGGGGAAGAGACAACAGCCACACACAACGGAGCCAAGGATGTCTTTTTCCTCTGGGGCAGGGAGGGGCAATGGGAAGGACCCCATAGAGCAGGAGCCAGAGAGCTCTTTCTGGAAAGCAGCCAGTCTACCTAGGCCTAGGGCCGAGTTCCTTGCACAATCCACCCTGGCATGGTGGCTCTGATTTACAGCTGGGGTCCAGGTTCCAATTGGCAGGAATGAGACCAGCTGGACATAATGGCCTGCCTCCCGAGGCAGGGCTGGGCTCGGGTGGGGCCAAGGCCAGTATCTTCGGGCCTTGCATTCAGAGCCCAACAGCTGGTTCCTGAGCCACCCTGCTGGTTTCTCACTGTCTCTCTCAGCTCAAAGGTTTCAAGCCTGGAGCAGAATGCATGTCCCCCCAAGGCAATGTGCCAGCAGCAACCAGCAGGGAAGGAAGGGGCAGACTGAATAGCTGTTCTAGGCTTTTCCAGCTGACCCACAACTCCACGGAGGGAAGCAAATGCTCCAGTGCCTGAGTACCGCCAGCTTGAAATGCATGAAGGCCTCTAGGGCACTGCAGGGCTACAGGCCCTGAGCCAGGCCCTGTGACCTGGAATAGAGATGAGTTTGGACACCCGGAAGCACCTGTGGAGTAGCAGGGACCAAACCACAGAGAGGACTTCTGGTGGCACTGGCACACGCTCGGGGGTGGGGTAGGGTGCAGTAAGGCCACAGGCCAGTCCCTGTACCACCCTCCTCTTGCCTCAGCTGGAACAATTAATCCAGAAGCAGCCAAGGCCAGAAGAAGAAAAGGGCCAGCCCCTCCCACCTGCGGCACTGCTAGGCTACGAGGCCGGAACGCTCTCGTCCCCTGGCAGCTGGCCAGAGGCCCTCACCTGGAACAGCCACTGGAGCAAGGGCACTGGGCAGGTGGGCGCATGCAGGTAGAGGTTGCTCAGGAGACCGCTGCGCAGGAAGGAGAGCTGCCGGTCCAGCGGGGAGCTGCAAGGCAGAGGGGCGATTAGGGGCCTCTGCCAGTAGCCTCCCCAAGCACGCCTGTCTTGGTAAAACGGGCGGGGGAGGTGTTTCCTATTCCAGTGTTACCAGGACAGTAAATCACATCAGTCATTACTATGGACAAAAATGCCTGCAGAGTCCTTGACACAAGGAGCTGTTAAGGACAACGCACTCGTGCCACAGTCATCATCAGAATCACCTGCTCCCCATGAGAACATCTCACAGGGTTTTACACACACGACTCGATGGTACATTTTGTCCTGTCCAAAGGTCAGAGGGGACACTGAAGTGTTTATCAGGTTGAACAGAGGGTCTGATAAATGATGGGACAGCCCACAGCCACCTCACTCAGCCAGCCCACGGCCATGAGCGCCAGTGTCAGGGCTCTGATTACCTAGGGCTTTTTTGCCTCATCCTGTGTTTTTCCAAAACAAAGGGGACACCTCAGAAGATAGGGAAATAACAGAAAGGGACTCAAGGTGAGGATATTTTAAGAAAGGAAATCATAAATGAAGTGCCACAGAGGACTCGAGAGAGCACGTAAGTGGCTGTGGCCTGAGAGTCCAAGGGTACCAGCGCCCAGGGTCCCCATATGTCTATGGCCAGGGCCCGGGATTCCACTTGCGACAGGAGCCCGCCAGGCCTGTCCCTTCTAACAGCTCTCAACACCCAACTGCTGGTGTGGCGGGGAGCCGGCCTTAAGTCCACTGGTGCCCTGGTCGATATTGGGGACCTCATGACCCTAGCTCCCTGTGAACCAGGACACGTGAAGTATCCCAAGCAAGGTGGTGTGTGTGGGGTGGGGCTTGGAAGCCCTCTGGGAGGGTCGTCTGGGAGGGTCTGCTGGGAGGGTCTGTTGGGAGGGTCAGCTGGGCTTCCTCCTCTCCTCAGGGAGGCTGGATCTGGGAGAGGACCTTTGTACTCTCCACATTTTGTGACTGGCCCCTTGATCTCTTTCTAGATGTCCTAAAGGCAATTAATATGGATTCCGGGAAATGAAAAAGTAATTCCATGTTTGTTCTTTTTAATGGCCAAATCCACACAAAGAACATTTCAGACAGATTTTGAAGTCATGACTCCAGATAGAAATTTCCTCAGTCAGCCCAACCTCTTCTTCTTAAAAAGGACATATTTTAATCTGCCAGGAACAGAATGCTCCAAAACAAAGATTCTCCTCTGAGCCAAGTTGCTGTCTCCTTGAGTATGTCCAGGCAATTTACAAATTGTATATTTTTGATCGAAATCATTTAGGTTCAGAGCAGAAAGCGGCTTTATTCCTGCATTTGTGAAGCTAACTGCTCTAAAACAGACCTTGCTGTGTACAGAAAAAATACATGTCCCCCAGTACTGCTGGCACACTCTGCTCTGCTCACGGGCTGGGTCACACTGACACTTTCACACACTGACCCTGTGATGCACGTGTGCTTCAAGCATGGCACCCCCAATGCTGGCAATACCATGTCTGGAGGACTTCATACATTGGCAAGACCCCATCGGGGCCGTGTGGCAAGGAGGCTGGAGCTCTGGGGACTCTGAAGAGACTGAGGCATTCTGCTGGGGCCACCTCGCTAGTTTCTCAGTAGGGACCTGATTGCACAAGCCAGTTGGCTCCAACACATTTCCAGCTGCCGCTCCAAGGGAGAGACACCCCTCGGTTCACAGCATCTCCCTTCTGCTACGCCCGCCTCCGGGTGCAGTTTCTGCCACAGAAACAATCAGGCTGCCTTCAAGTGCATGGCTGCCAAGTTAGGTTTAGTCTTAAAGACCAGCAGCAAGATGGCAGGAAAAGTGGCCCAGCTGTGCTCTGGAGCAAGTGGCTTTCAGGAAATAAGTGCTGAGGGCTGGATATGATAGAGGACCGTCCTGCACAGGCCACAAAGGCTGCTTCACCTCGGGGACCCACAAGCCTCCAGCCTTCGGTGGATGGGACAAGGCCAATGGCATGAGTAACCTCCGGCTTGGTGGGAGGGCCTCTCTGCAGACACTGCCCTGATCTGAAGAGGAGGGAGAGTTCCCCCAGTAGGGAAGGCAGGAAGAAAAGGGAAGGGCAGGAAGTGTGTGCACTGGAAACTCAAAACCCTTGGTTACAGAATCAACTGTGGTTAGAACAAGGACGCTGAGTCCAATTGGGTGCCCTTGCCTGCAGCTAAGCCAACACTAGGGTCAGGAGATATGCCGAGAATGTCAGAGAACCCTGGAGTGAGAAGAGGAGGGGGTGGAGCCTCTGTCAAGGTAGATGCCAGGGCAGGCTTTGCTGAGCATGAAGCCCCAGCTGTCAACTCTGGGGATTGCAGGGAGGGAGCTTCTCACTGGGACACAAAGCAGCCACAGTCGGAAAAGTGCTAATCCCCAGCCTCCATGGCAGGGACCAAGGGCCCCGGGAACAGAGGGAAGGAAGGGAGGAAATCAACCAAAAATGGGAATAGCACAAAACAAGGGGATAGCACAAAACAAGCGGATAGCACAGAGGGGATCGGCCCGGATTGGCATGTGGGTGCCGGGGCAGAGTGCCGACCTCTGCTTGGACTTTCCGTTCCCAATAAGGCCTCACCAAGAGTCTTCTAGCCTCTCCCTCCTCACCCATCTCCCGGCAGCAGTCCCAGAGGGCAAGTGTCTCAGTGCCTCTGGAATCCCAAGCGATGGCAGAGGGATAAACACCAGTGCAACTATTCATACAGTATCAGTTTCTGCGCCCTTGCCAAGTTCCTCAAATGAAAGCTCAAAGGCCTCAGGAGAATAGAAATGGTAAAGCCCAGAGCGAGCCCGTATGCCCCTATATTCTTCTTTTGTTCCTTTGTTGAAATGAAGCAGCACCACTAGGTCAGAAGCAGGGACTCCAGTGACGACCCTCTGGCTCTGTATTTCCAGGGCAGTTGCAGCCAGCCAGTGGTGGATTTATCTCACAGGCTTCGCCCAGACATGCCATGAAGAGGAGGAGGTCGAGGCAAGGCCAGGCGGGGCCTCAGGGAGACCAATGCCTAGCAGCAACACTGGCATCCTAGCGGCACTCACACCCATGCTCTGCTGCTGAAGGAGCACACCAGACTCCCCGAACACGCGCGGACACCACACCACAGAACGAATGTGGTCTAGGAGCCCTCACGTGGGCTGTAGGGCTGGGAGTGCCACGAATGATTGATTTAGCAGGCGCCCTCTTCCCTGGAGCCTCTCCTGCCTCCTGGCCTCTGGTAGGCGTCTCCCAAAGCTTTTCCACTCGGATTGGATTCCCTTTTGAACTGTTGTCAAGGGAGGAGAAAAAAGTTCAGCCCTAGTACCAACTGTGTCAAAAAGGCATGTGACTTTGGTCCCAGGAAACCGACCTGAGGTCACATATCCAGCTGGGTGATTAAGGAGAGGGGATGGTCGGCCATCTTCAAACCCAGAGCTGCAGGCTCTGGGGTGAAGCGCCCCAGCCCAGACACCCGTGCAGGTTGGGTCCCGGAGGGCCGCCCACGCTGACACTGCCATCTGAGACACCACACTTGCTTACTCTGTGCCAAGATTCCCACAGTGAACAGTGGGGAGAAAGAAAATATCCCTCATCACAGAGAGGAGAGAAGTGAACCTATTTCCAGAAGTGATTTTTAAAAGTGATAATCACTTTTTCCCCTCAAATACTAAAACTGATACATGTTTATTACAGAAAGTTTGGAAAACATAGGAGTATAAGAAAAAAATTAAAGTACCTGTCATCTTACAAAATGTTAACTTTTTGTTTGGCAAACAATGCAACCACATTGCTTTTTTGAGAAATCAAATGATCTTTTATTTTATTCTTCTCCATTTTCATGCTTCCGGGTGAACACAACGGAATAATTATTAAAGGACTAGTATTTCCCACTCTCGGGTCTGAACTTGAAGTCCTTGGCAAAAACAGGAAATAAAAGATGACCCCAAGCCTAAATGGTGCCCTTCAGGAAGTGGCCCTTAACCACTGTACAGCGGGAGCCCCTAACCTGACCAAGTATAGGGTGGCCACCCCTCCAGAAAGCCCTTTAGATTTGAGGCACTGCAACGTCCCCACTGTGCTCCATCAGCATGTGTGAGTGGGGAGGACCTGAATTCTGCCCTCCTGGGAAGCGAGCTGGCCACCTGGCCCCATCTGGCAGGGGTGCTCTGATCTCAGGTCACTGCTCCACAGGCCATCTCATCTGTCAAACACTTCCTGTCCCATCCAGCCTGGGACAGAACTCCTGGTACAAACCGTGAGGCCAAGGCTGCTCAGGAAGACATGTCCTTTCTCCCATCCTTCCCCTTCTACCAGCCTGTTCTTGGACTCTCCCTTCTTCAGCTTCACTCTTTCTCTCCTCCTCCTTTCTCTCCTCTTCCCCTCTTCTCATCATCTTTTCATTTTGGCAGAGTGAACCTTTACCATTATCCATAGGCTCAGGCCTAATCACGTCACATCACGCCCAGGAATACATTCCAGACGCCCAGACAGACTTTCATGCACAATGATATTCTCTACCGAGCTGTTATAACA